ATGTTATATGGCGCACGTTTCATATACGATAGGAGTGAATTTGTAACTGATTGTAAATTTATTTTTAGTTACTCAGTGATCTCCCTGGTCACTTTGTTGTGGGTGTATGCGGTCCACAAGGAGCAGGAAAGTCTACGATTCTGTCGAAATTTTGTCAGGATCAGAGTAATGTATGGTAATTTGGAGTCATGTTGGGAATTGGAGGGAATTACGTTAAATTGGCTATTTTTTTTTTTTTTTGGGGGGGGGGGGGGGGCATTTGTTTGGGTACTTTTAAAACGATTGCGTAGTACCAGGCTTAAATATTGTCTTGTTTAATTTGCACGCTTAGGGTTTTACTCAACAATCAAATGAGACCTTATATGCGGCAAATCATGCCACTATCGGTGTGGACATTCATGTAACCCCAGAAAGGATTGTTTTACTCGATACACAGGTATGGTTATTTTTTGATATCATTGATCTGTCGAATGAATTCTTTGTACATTCTCTAACATTTACCAAAAAATGAACAGCCAATATTCAGTCTTTCGGTGCTTGAACGTGCAATCAGGAACGATCATGTGCCTGATGGAATGTTGCCCGAGTTGTGGTTGGAATTGCAGGTGAAGATTGGGGATGGAATAACAGAGTCGTTTCTTGTGCTATATTCACAAGATTGCGATTATTAGCACTATCTCTCTCTTCTCTCTCTCTCTCTCACTCCAATACAGAAATAGACTGATGCATTCCTTCTACCATCCAGTCTCTTCAACTTGTCATATTCTTGCTTTCAGTGTGCAACGTTGTTCTAGTGGTGACTGAAGGTATGGACTATATGACTTGGAACTTCCTAAAGAAAGCAGAAATGTGTAAATATCGTATACCTGAATTCCCGACCGTGCCTCATTTGAACTCGGCTGATGGTGATATCGAATATTATCCTGAAATTGGTAAGCGGGTTATCAGAATACATGAGCTATTACAAAAATGCAAGTGATATCAACAAAACCTGAATAAAGCTTTTTACATGCTTGTTCCTTAGTATTGGTCTGCAACAAGACACCTACGCAGGAATTCACAACCCCACGATATGATGCTTTATGCGAAATAGTGTGTGACATGTTTGAGTCGACCAGATTAAATCTCTTCAGTGAGTGAGTCATGTTTTTTTTATTTCAAACTTTATTGTGTGAAATAAAAGGCATACATATGTGTTTAGTTTACTTCATACAATTTCACTCATTTCAATTCTACTATTCCTATATTCCTACCCCATCCCTCCCTCACTCACATTAAACTCAGATACCGTTTCTCTGAACAAAACGTTTGCCATATCTCCGCCATCACTTGAGCCTTCACCTAACGTAATACTCCTTCCCTACGAAACTCATCCCTTACGTCATAAATCAGAAAACATGACCTGGACGAAGCTGAATGCTCCAGACAGTTTTATCTCATTTACGGAATCTTTAAGAAATCAGGTGTTTGGATTACCCAAGAGGGAAGGAAAGAAGGGACAGGTATCAGAGAAAGACTGGTGAGTTGTTTCTTCTATAGCTAGAAGTGGTGTTGGTGGGTAATAGGTAAAAGGAAATGTGTTTGTCATGGTGTATTACACGAACATTTGCAATTCTGTGAGTCACTCGTGTATTTCTACCATCTTGCCACATGTGCAAATTCTTACGTTGAAACTGCTTTTTTTGTCTTGTTAGGTTTCGAAGTGCGGTAAGAGCCTGGGAATTGGTCCGCAAGTCTGAATTCATCACTGAATACACTCGACTTGCTCAGAGATTGAAAGACATGTGAACTGCGCGATGCCGGGAGACATGATTCGATATGAAGTAGATATGATTCTGCACATATATTTTCCGTTATCTCAGGATGGGCAACTGGAATATTGCTCGTCGAAGAAAAAGGAGAACATTTTTGTGATAAGTTTGAATAGGGATAATATGAAGAGAGATTTCTGTGGATAGGATGCGAGGTACGCGTTTTGAGGGAACGTGTGGTGGGATATATCGAAAAGTCGATAGGAATTTACAGTGACTGACTGTTTTTTCCTTCCCTTCACATTAGTCGTGCATGCAATCAACATAACGCAAAAATCGTCCTTGCCGTTTCCAATGAACGTATAAAGCACGGCCTAGGATGTTATGTACTTGCTCACCCTTTCATCCGAAATTCTCGTTTGCAACCTTATTGCAAGATACTTCCCGTTCTTCAGCACAAAATTACTTTTTTTCTTCTCTTTATTTTCTTCTCATTGACCGCATTTATGAATTTCTTTGCGTGGAAAGAGTAGGCGATGCTGATGGCAGCGAGACAAAGTTTAAGGGGTGACTGTTGGTGGAGAAGGAGAGGGTGTTTGAGGGGTTAAGGAGTATAGTCATTAGGCAGCTGTCATCTGCGACTTGAAGAGCTTCTTTCTTTTTCCTTTTCTTTTCTTTTCTTTTCTTTATTTCCCCCCCTTTTTATTTGGATTAAATCTTAAGTGTTTACGTACACTGTTTGGTTAATGCGGTATTTGTGAATGGATTCTGCTTCGCACATGGAAAATGGGTTTGTTCTGTAACTATTCGCCACTATTATTATTACGTGACTATCGACGTGTTATGGAAAATGGGTTTGTTCTGTAACTATTCGCCACTATTATTATTACGTGACTATCGACGTGTTATGGAATATATTATGTTATTTAAATTACCCCCAGTATCACAAGCTCGAGGGAGAGTAGCTGCAATGAATGCCAAGTTTATCAATAGAAAAGCCTAGTATATTATACACTAGATGAGTGGTAACTCAAACAATGACAGGAAAAGACTGTTTATCAAATGCTTTTACCGTCACCAGAATGTTGATTTACGAGATTTATTTGTTACAATCCGGTATCGGTACATTATCATCAGGATGAGAAGTTGAATTAAGGCACCAACATTGAAATAACTCGTCAGCGAGTCCCAATGTCAATTTGTCTCTTGTGAGCTATTTCCGTCTAACAAGAAGTCATGGGAGTCTGACACCCATGAGAGAATGTTGATACATGAAACATCAACTCGCAGGGGAGCAATCTGGGATGCACTTGTCATTTGTCGCTGCGATTATTAGACATAGGGTTCCTTGGCAGACTATATTTCAAGACAATATCAGAGATGCCAAGATTGTTTAACATACCAGCAAGTCAATATGTCGAAGAACGAAACTCTTAAAGATAACGAAAAGCAACTACGTGAGCAAATTGGATGACGTGACTAGTAATCACTGTAGCCAAATGCTATTTCACAATGTTTGTTAGTCGAGTTATCCAATCACACTTGCAAATTTGTTACAAAAGTTCGGTTTACTGATAAAAAGTCCACGAAAACTCAGTTTTACTGATACATGACAATTAATGGCACCACCCAATTTTAATTCGGGATGTCGTAATAGTAAAGGAAAAGCCAATGACAAAGTTACCGAATCATTTTGCGCGACGGTCGTTGTGGCATTGTATGCTACCACCACTAACCATCACTACATGCTATCACTACATGCTGTTACCCCTTTTTTTGTGAGAGGGAAATTCATTTTCAAATGTTTAAATGCTAATTAACTTTTGAATTGAATTATTTTCTGTTTTCTGGTTATGGAAATTATATCCTTAGATGTATGGTAATAACTTTAATAGCCCTTCATGGTAATAGAGCCCCCCCAATGCAACTGTGTCTAACAGTTTGTACATATTTTTTATCTGTGGGACGGCTACCATTGCTATATTGTTCAGACTTATTTGGACGGGTCTGTACAGTCTGTACACCGTTCCTCCTCATTAAATGGGCTGACCGGCTGCTGCCAATAAACAAAATTATAGTAAAGTTCGAACTGCAGAAACTTCAAAACTCGGAGACAATAATGATGATAATAACAATGAAACAAGACATGCATTTATCCAAAAAGTCATAGTATGCTTTCTCTCTGTATTGAATATAAAGTGTGATTATTACTGTGATCAGAGCTAAACAATAAAAGAAAGTGTGATATTATTGTATTACGCTATATAATCATACAATGTACTATGAAGTCAAAAACATGAGGAGCGATGATTGGATGGCAAGTCCGAATAGAGAGTAATTGTATTTATCAGGTATAATTAATTGCAATCAGCTTCAGGTTGTTGTAAGATACCAAATGTTAAACGCAACCAAAAACAGGCAAACGTTTCATATCGGCGTAATTCGATTAACACCTTGCATCTCTTGAATGGATTTTCCGCTCAGATCCTAAAGAGAATGTATCTCTTTAATCGTCACGAGTAAACAATTTTTGATGGGGCGAGAGAGGGAGATGGAAATGTGGGACGTAGTATGCCGTGATCATCCGTTTGGAAAGCGAAGAATGCGGGAGAGAGTGGCGGAGAGGAAGAGATAGGAAAAACCGGGAACGCATAGTCATTTTAATGAATGTATTGGCTTAATTAATTATATGTGATAAAGTTCATGCCGGAACAGTGCCACGTGTCACAGACATAATGAAAACGCGACACAAGTCTCCTGAAGTGTCAACTTGTATATATTTTTAACCATTGTTATAATAACCCATCAACACCATATATAGACCTATACTTCCCTTATCCTCTTGCCGTTATCTATTCCTTCCATTCGTTTAAAGTTGCAGGTCAACAAAAAGTGTATAAATAATAAAACAAAGCAACGTTGACAAGGATACACACATATATATATCTATCTATCTATCTTTATCTCATACATTCACACTCTTTTCCTATTCATTCTTTAAAAGTTTGTACAAAGCGTTACTCAATCCTATTCGTACTAGTCCGTTGAACGGATTTTGTTCTAGTACCAAAAATCGACATTTTTTTTTATATTCCGAGTCGTGTTTGATGAGTCCTTTACTCCTCCCATCTGATTCTCGATAGATAGATAGATATAGATATAGTAATAGATCTTCTAAATACACTATATAAACAACAAACAACAACACGTTCTATATTGTCCTTGTCATCATACCCACTTAATATCAAAATGGATAGTTTTTCTCTTCAGATCGTCAATTCTCAAAATCTCTTTCCCTCATTGGCTGCCATTTTCGCCTTCGCCCCACTATCCCTCCTTGTCGGCACAACCGCCCTGCTTGCATTCACTCTCTTATTCCTTTCAAATCATACTACAATCAAGTCTCCAACACCAAAAATCAAAAAGCATCCCCCAAGTCTTTTCATGGATGCGAAGTCTAATGATGTCCAGACTGTGAATCAAAACGTGAATAGCGGCAAAACAAAGAAAACACGAAGTAGACCTAAACCTCCCGTGGCTCGCGATACTCTAGGCATTCCTTCGGTCAAAATACCTACTCCTACTCCTACACCAAAGAGTCCGTGTTTCGTGCATTCGTACATTGACCCGTCAAATAGGCAATCACTGACCGAAGTCATTACAAAAAGTGTCAGCGAATGTAATAATTATGGCACGTTGGCTGAGACAGCCGTTAGCGTAAGGGAGATTTCTAAAACCCTTGGTACGAAGACAAATTGGTGACTGGGGAAAGGGAAAGAAAAGAGAAATGGGGGGCAACTTGAGCTATAAGCTCATTAAAACCACGTAGAAGTTTTTCAGGAGCAAGCTCTTTCTTTTTATATGATTGATTTATGCTCACGTATTACGTTTTCTCTCTCCCTCTCTCTTCCTTCTCCTCAATAATACCACCAGGTCAAGCGCGTATACATTCCCAAATAAAAACAGTAATGATAGTTACAAAGCCAGGTGACAGCCGTCTTATCAAACTCACTCGCGAACTTACACTGTACTTGATCACGACACAACGATATGGCAAAGATCATGGCGTGACCGTGTATGTCGACAAGCAATTAAAAGACGTCAGGCGATTTGGCTATGAGTCATTATTGCGCGAATCTCCATATGTAAAGGATAGCCTAAAGTTCTGGACAGCCGAGCTGTGCGCTGCTCGTCCCGAGATTTTCAATTTCGTTTTAACAGTAAGTTTGATTGTTTTCTTTCTCTACACAATGTATGTTTGGAATGCATCTAACATCCCGATATCTACTAGCTTGGTGGTGACGGAACGGTGCTTTATACATCTTGGCTCTTTCAACGTGTGGTTCCACCAGTAATGCCATTCCATCTCGGTTCACTCGGATTTCTCACAAACTTTGACTTTGCCAACTATCGAAAACACCTCACTACCGCCATGGACGATGGAATTCGCGTCAACCTTCGAATGCGTTTCACATGCACGGTCTATCATCGCGTAGCCAACCCCGATCATTTAAAAGTAAAAGCCAAAAGGGATGGTCTAACTGGTGAAGTTATGATGCAAAAGCTGTTGGACGGAGAGGGAAGTTGGGAAGCTTTGGAAAGAGAGAAGAACGATGATTATCAGGCAGGAGGCCAAGATAAAGATCTGCCATGTTTTGTGACGCAGGCGGGTGAAACGTTTGAGGTCTTGAATGATCTGGTAGTCGATCGAGGTGCAGGACCATACATGAGCATGTTGGAATTGTTTGGTAAATGTCAATTTCCTTGTTGGCGCAATTGAGAGATTGTAAATTTTGATTTATTAATTTCTGATATTTGAATATTTGATATTTTGTTATAGGTGATGATGAACATTTGACTACCGTTCAGGCCGATGGATTGGTCATATCAACACCAACGGGATCTACGGCGTATTCCGTATCAGCTGGCGGGTCTTTGGTACATCCCGACATACCAGCTCTTCTTATCACGCCGATATGTCCCCATACACTCTCATTTAGACCTATGCTATTGCCTGATTCAATGGAGTTACGTATATGTGTTCCGTATAATAGCCGAAGTACTGCCTGGGCTAGTTTTGATGGGAGAGGAAGAGTGGAATTGAAGCGTAAGTACAAAAATGTTGATTTAGTGATAAAACGCACTAATCAGGAATCGAGATCAATACTTATTCCAATCTTTTTCTCAATTTGATAGAGGGCGACCATATTAAAGTGACACCTTCAAAGTTTCCCTTCCCAACTGTCTGCAAGTCGTCTTCATCTCAAGACTGGTTTAATTCAGTCTCACGCTGTCTACGATGGAATGAACGGGAACGACAGAAATCTTTTGTTGTTATCGAAGACTATGCTAGTGATTCCGAAGCTGAAGCCGAGGGTGATTCCACAAAAGTAGACGATGGCGGAAAACATGCAGAGCATATTGATCATGAAAAACCACATAATAGAGGAAGCGTAAAGAAACATCACGAGACACATGTGTTTGCTTGTTATGGGAAAGATGCCGAATCAACAAGTAGTGGAAGTGGAGATGAACGCTGATAGAATTGACTAGAAGAGGGGTTTAATTATTGCTTGGTTTTATTTTTTTTTCTTTTTTTTTTCTTGTACAGAAACTTGTGTAGATAATTGTTCAAAGAATGCATATCGGTATCAGTTTGTACAGCTGAGAATAAAAAAAAAAAAACAAAAACTTCTTTTCCAGAATTCAAACATTGTATGAAAGATTTAATGTGAATCTCTCTTTCAGTGGGGTATTTTTTAGGTGGTTAAAATTTGCAGATCAAATACAATAATAAACTATAATCTTGTAATCGTGACAATGTCACATTTTCTGTAAATAACACAGTTATCGTAGCGTCTCTCTGGCTTGCAATATTGCATGCTTTAGTGGTTGATTTTGCATCTATCACATGATTAACAATTTGATAGTAAAGGTGGGGGTTATTATTATTATTATTATTATTAGTGTGAGTATTAGTAATCAAAGTTCCAATTTAGCATTAATATGAACACCCAATCCTACTTCCAATACTAATTCAATAATGTAAATACAGATCACCAATTGGCACTTTCTAACCGCATATTCCTATTCGTATAAATGCTATTACTAACTGAATAGCACTTTACTAATGGTCAAAATCCCACATATTTAAAGTTTAAAACTGTAACCGTTCCATAATGGGGATAGTGGGGATTTTATTATTATAATTATGGATGCCTTGTTGACCATAAATTTTGCTATTTTACGAGTTTGATCTACAGTCGTTTTTGCCCATTGCATTTTTTTTAAGATGAAAGTAATTGCGGCATTCTTTCCATTGGGCAGTGTCAGCCTAGTGAGAAATGTCAACGTTGGTCTAGGAAGTTTGCTTTCGATAAGTAGAACTGTTAATGGTGGTAGTCTAATTGAAGCTTTTGGATCGTTAAGGCGGAAAAGTACTCAAGCGTCCGTTGGTTAGTTGGCTCGAGTTTCGATTTGTTGTTTGTAACTCGTTATGTGTCTATACATAATTTACCCGCATGTGTCCCATGAAACAGTCCCACAAAAAAATAAGCGTCTTGGAGGACCGTATCCGGTGCGTGTAGTGAATGGTAAAAATCCAAAGCGAATCCCACAACCCTATCGACTACGAGGTGTTCCTCGACTGCCTGATCCGCCAAAAATAGATCCCAACAGACCAATAGTACAATATCCGTATTTTGTTGAACGGTCGCGATACGGAGAACTTCCCGTATATTACAGCATCAAAAATGGACGAACACGTCAATTGACTACTATAAGGAGAATTGAAGGAAGTCTTCAGGTAAAAGAAAAAAGAAAAAAAAACTCTGAATTTTTTTGGTAGTAAAAGAATTTGTATCATTCACTGCTAGTTTCAATTTGTAGGCTCTTCGTGATGATATTGTAAAAGAGCTGTTCCCAGGTGCATTAAAGGGTGATATAAAAATTAACGAAACGTCACGTCAAATAATCATCAAAGGAAACGTTCGAAGAGATGTCATGCAATGGCTACATGATAAGGGATTCTGATGAATAAAATTCTAATCATGTTAATAAACACGTATATTATTATGTAGAATGAATTTTGTAATCGTTTCATTCGCATCGCCGGGTTTCGTAGATCACGACTATTATTTCCCCCAATGATCTACGCGGTTCGTGGTTTAGACCCACTTGCTTTTTTGAATTGAAACCATTCAAAACAAATGTTTACTCACAAAGCCATTTTCCCAAATTCTATCGTGGACGTCCCTTCTTCTGCTTCTACAACCTGCTCGGTCCCAACGTGTGTCTCTAAATCGTACGATCACGACCGTAACTATAACAAGAAACAAAAGATTTCTGAAAACGCGTCTGCTGCCTCGCGTTCCAAGTCCGTCAGGAAGAATGCCGCTGGTACAAAATTTTCTGTATCAAACAATAAGAAATCCAAAGCAAGTGACATGCTTGCTCCAGTATCATCGAGTGCAGCGAACGCGACTATATTCAATTTTTTCGGTAAAGTGGAAGAACAAATCACGAAAGGTAAAGGTATAGAGAAATTTTTTTTCTTTTTGAAAGGAGGGTTTTTTTTGGAAGCCAGAGTTGTCCAAATTGGGTATACCTGAATACAGTTGATATGCTGCAGAGGATATGGACGTCGACGCGAATGACGTTGAAGAAAAGGGCGTAATGGAGAATGCTACACTTGACGTTCACACGTCTAAAGAACACAATCAAATGAATTCTATATTAATCGTCGACAACGATTACGACATCATTAACGTTGATGAATTTCTTGACAATGCCGGCACTGTCGGTAACATGGCGCACCAAGGCAATGACAATGTGACGTCCAAGAAAATTCCCGGGCATAATGACAACATAGAAATCGACATCATCTATCTGTCTGACGATGACTATAAAAACGATATGATTCTCGACAGCAGTGACGAGAATGAGGATCAATTGTATCCGCTATTCGAATCGCGTTTAACTAGACTCTCTTATAATGTAGGCCAGATTTTATCACCGCGCCACCTCCACCTCCTCCTTTCTAGAATCAACTTGTATATTAATCATCTTTTTCTTTTTTCTCTTTTGTCACCGTCTCTTTATCCAAGACGAAACAATCTCATATGACGCAATGCATTCACGAGTCAACTGCCGCAACCAGAACGTCATCCGATCCATCTTTCTTATTCTCATCTTTTTTCTCAGTCAGTACTTCTTTCACTTCAAATCAATCCGGTACAGCTCTCACAGTCAACGAAAATGAATCAGCTTTGTTAACCACAGAATTTAAAAGAGAACCGTTTCATGCGTCCGGTCCAGCGACAATCAAACAGGAAAGTGAACAGGACAAGCGAAACGGAAGGGTAAAAGGCAGCAGAAAGAGTTGTCCTTGGTATAAAATGTTACCTGGTGAGGTGTAACACTGTTTTCAAGGCTTTTTGTCATGGGGTTTGGGATTTCAGGCTTGGGGATTTCGAGCTTGGGAATTTCGGAAATCTGACAAAAACGTTGGATGGCAACGAAATAGATACGACAATCACCGTAGACGCATTCAAATACGGACAGATTCCGAACTGTACCGCCTATTTTCTCAGGTGAACATATTGCTCTTTCCCACACTCGTTACTACCTTGTACTATTTTTTACAAGTATTTCCTAAATGTGTTGTTTGTTATCAAAGCCATTTCCATTCTGATCATTACGGAGGTCTGTCCTCGACTTGGGCTCATGGGCCAATCTACTGTTCAACGGTGACTGGAAATCTCGTGATTCAAAAGCTTCGCGTCAAGCCGGAATATGTCCACAAACTCCCAATGGATACGGAAATTCCAATCGAATCCGATCGCGTTACTGTAACCCTAATTGATGCAAACCAGTGAGCAAAAATCTCGTTGACGTAAATTTACTGTTTTGTATCAGGGGAAGAAGGGGGGGAAGTTATATACGACAATGAGAATATTAACATAAATTATTTATAAAGTTGTCCAGGATCGGTATTGTTTCTGTTTAAACTCATAGATCAAAATAATAAAACTGTTCGACGGTACTTGCACACTGGTGATTTTCGGGCATGTCCAAAGCAAGTCCTTCATTCGGCCATTGCAAACCTGTCAGATCCAATAGACGTGTTATACCTTGACACAACATATTTAAATTCACATTATCGTTTCCCAGCTCAGGAACAAGTGGTGAAAGCTGTAGTGTCCTTGATAGCCAAAGCAATCAAAGGAGGCGGGTTGGCACCAGTGAGTAAGAATAAAGTGAGTAAAAAGAAGATGGTGAGAGATCCTTCCCAGACGGCTCTAGACAATTGGCTAAAGCTGGTGAATGGGAGGAAAACTGTTAAAGAGGAGAAAAAGGTAATCGAAAGCAAAGACAATTGTGATGCAAACGGAATGAACGCGCAGAAAGATGAAAAGGATGGGGTTGCGTTTTCTGACAGTAAGTTGCTGGTTGTCGTGGGCACATATCTCATTGGAAAAGAAAAGATATTTATGGGTAAGTTTCAGTCCAACTATGAGATGATACTATAGCAGCTTTTCGGATTTTCAATAACATTCTGTTGTTGTGATAGGTATTGCTAAAGCTCTTGGTTCCAAGATATACGTGTCAGCAGAGAAACGACGCATTCTTGCATGCCAGGAGAATAAAGAGCTTGACTGTCTGCTAACAAACGATCCTTGTGAGGCATGTGTTCACGTTGCCTCAATGACTAGCATCAGACCAGATGTATGTTGGTTTATTATGTCTTTATATTCTTTTTCTTTTTTTACTAATCTTGCTGCACGTATCTCGTTTGGCCACGCCAGCTTCTAGTGCAATATTTAGACAGTCTTCGGCCTCGATTCTCTACAGTTATAGGGATCCGTCCAACAGGATGGACATATAAACCATTGTTTGAACAGCCATTCCATACAACCGAGGTTCTATTAAACACTCCCCCCGTTTACTCGGATGCTGATATACGACCAGCTTATGCGTCTTCAGTATGTCAAATATTTGGGGTTCCCTATTCAGAGCATTCGAGTTTTCGTGAACTTGCCGCATTCATCATGTCGTTGAACGTGAAGCACATTGTACCGACGGTTAATGTTGGGTAAGTGAGAAACATGTGAAACAAAGGGTTGATTTCTTGGGGAAAAGTCCTCGTTGACATTAGCTACTGCCTGTAGGACCGAGAAGAGTTGCAAAGCTATGAATTTTTGGTTGTGTAAATGGCAAGAGACGAAGCAAAAAAATGGAAAAGTTGTTGTTGTTCCATATCCTTTATTAACCCATTGGTAGTGATCTAGACGTCGGGTGAGTAATAATTGTATTATACGTATTTTGCGTGTCAATGGTGATGCATCAACAGCTTGTCTGATAATAAACCAAAGCTTTGAAATTTAAATGCATGTAATAAATCGAATCGAGGGAATATGCGAAAGTAGCGTTCGCTCGCCGACGATATATACGATTAATGGTATATCAGCAAGTATTTCACGCTCTTAACTTTGAACATATATACTTTCAATGCTTTAGAATAGTAACAATGATTTTAGGGTACAATGCTATAATAGGACACAATCGCCAATTGGAATTACTATGGCAGTTGGTTGCACTACTAACAAGGAACCCAGAAATTATCTCGCTTTGTATTGTGAGGTTACAATGACACAACTTGCGTGTAGCACCTTCATAACGCAAGTCTGTCGCTATTGGAACATGTAATACTGAATAAACTTTGGTTTGAAAAATCCAATCTCGACAAACAAAGGTGAAATTTTTTAGCAAGCCCCTTATTGAGTTTTTAATTTGAAGTTTTACGTTGTAAATCGAGTTTTTCAAGTCTTAATCTGTGAGTAGTATGGAATCAATTGTTCAACGAAAAGTGTACAACTTGCGAAGTATTAGTTCTGCCTTGGCGTACGACGGACGGCTTGTTGTAACGATCTTCATTGGTAACGAGGCAAATACGCTAAGGATGGCTTTCCTTTTGGTTAGTTAATTGCCGCGATACTTGGACAGATGAGACACAAGCCACGATGTACAATAATTATGATCTCCATAATAAGGTGATGTTTATACTAGTTAAATATTAATGGCTTTGTATTTTCTGATAATATAATCCGTATAACGTATTTTATTACTATATTTTTACCACCGCTACATCCCGGAAAGGTAATGGCATACTATATCGTGAATGATGATAGAAAGCATTAGCATTGTCGTTTTATTGGCTTGTCTTATTATCGGGTATTAATCGACATGAAACTTTTTTTTTGTGGCGCGCTTTGTCGATTGTTGCAGATTAAAAACACAAACAATGTTTCAAACTACTGATTGGCTTGAATTGTTTTTCCTGATATCTTTATTTAGAAAGATCAAAGCAGAGCTAGTGTAATGGGATTTACCAATCTCAAACGTTGGTGCTACAAAATTTTAAATCAAAAAATGCACGCCTCAAAGTTTTGTCTGCCATTTATAAAAAATACAATTTCCTAAAGACAGTCTTAAAAAAAATACGCACCATTACCTTGGATGTAAATTTTCAATTCAGACTCGGATAACAAATACAACCTGTTAGTTCTTGTCTTCAATCTCAAATACCCCCGTGATCAATTGTGACAAGTGTCACTATAGTAATAATACATGTGCCTTCTTTATGAGTTCTATTAACCTCTCAATGTGATTACTATAAAAAGAGGTTGGTTATTCACCCTTAGTCATGTCAGCTTTTATTTATAGACTTGACTTTCCTTGCAATCATTGTGAAAAGATTCTGGTAAATGAGAATGAGGATGAACCGTATTTGACGCAAAACCATCGCACAACGCATAGGAAAATGTAATGCTTGCATTCATTGCAACCAACAACAGGCTGCAAATCATTGTTAGTGTTGTGCAATCCATAACACTAAAGTAGGTAAGAATGCACAATATGCGACACAAGGAATTTTCGATGCTAATATTCATACATGGTCCTCTTCCACATTTAGAGGTCGTTAGCCTTATTTTGAATATCCGGCATCTTGATATGTGATTATAAAAGTGCAGCACGAAACGAAACCCTCGCTCTCTCTAATCAAAAAATCACAAACAGCTTTCTGCACAAGCATAATATCCTACACAATGTCGGCTATCCAACATCCATTATCACTCAATACACAATCAAGTCTCAATGAGCCATTGCTCGCTTCGGATAAGAGCGAAGTAGCTACAGTTGCTCCTTCTGAAATCACCGATCTGGAGAATGCATCTTTATACGACTATGCAAACAACGATTGTGCAAGCGATCGAGCGCTCTTGATAACAAAAGCCTCGTTGGCCTCTTTGCAAACAGTCGGCTCTCACAACTCGGGACATGCACGGTGTCATTCGGAATCCGCTGTTCCAACCGAGGATGGATTGGCAACTTTTGATAAAATGAATAGGCGCATAACGTATAACGACATTAATCTTAAGCAACTACCGCAAGTTGATTATATAGACCAACTTGATATTACGGGGATATACGGAGGAGCACGTAAGTCAGCCAGTTTAAAATCATAAAACATCTTTCTCTCGCTGTTGCCTGCAAACAACTGACAGACATATAATCTCTAAATCCAGTATTCCATCACGAAAGTCCGTATGATCGTGCACTTTCATACCACACTGAAGCGTCGGCACAAGTATTTGGTGAAAGCGAAAACGTTTTTCCAACAACACATACCAGCTCGCCATATGACGAAAATTCCTATGTATCGTACGAACCCAACCCTGTCAGATACCGAGATAGTTTTCTCGAGGGTTCAACAGCATACGGATTCCGATCGAACGATGACGATTTAGCAAAAATCAAGAGAAAGAGCTTCTTTAAACGGATTAGTCGAGCCGGATTTCAAGGAAAGAAACAAGAAAACAAGACAACATAGGATTCATTATGTGCAGTGGAATAGAATGTTTAGACTGCCGAGAAGGGAGAGAGAGAGAGGGTGGTGGGTGGGTAGCTAGTGGTATCGGATCAAGCAAAAAGAGGGGTTTTTTGTATCATACCTAAATAGTTAGGTTGAATTAAAGAACTCGGACTGTTGTAATATAGGACAAGTGCTAGTAGATACTATTATCATACCGGAACATTCATAATATATATTATTGGGTATATACACCAGTCAGTAAGACGATTTGGGAGAAAGTGATTGAATTATATGCGTGGAATATTAATACTGTCAACGGTTCATTCGCGAGTTTACTGTCAGAACGCGGTTCCTCTTATTGATCGATCAGAACTGATATGGTTTTCATATTAATATGGTAGTTTGGGTAAAAAAGCCAAGGACTATCCAAGTCTTTTTTATCATACCATGTAACCAGATCGGGACAATCCTTCCAAGCTTGGATTAGTTCTTCACTTACTCCGTGTTTCTCCTGTAGCATGGGATCTGGTTGGGGAAATGGCTTGGATCTATTCAGCATTTCTATTCGACATCAAATCAGATTGCCCTTTACAATAGTTTCCGTAATCGACATTGCTTTTTTCGATATCACATATCAATGTACTGGGTGGAATGGTTACAATTAACTTCACGCGTTTTAAGAGTCGCCCTAATACCAAGTTTTAACTTAATTAGCTTGAAGTTTCCGCCATCGTACCCAGATAAACATATGCGAATGCGTTGTGAGAAACAAAATTTAATATTAAAATAAGTCTCAATTTATTTTAAAGATCGTTTGTTCTATGTAAATCGTTAAATATAAACCTACGAGTTTATCTTTCATCCTTGGTTTCACTAACTACTGCTGATGACTCTGCACTTGTCGACTCGATGATCGGTTGTGGTGACGTGATCACTTCATCACCTCCGATGCTACCTGCGAGCAAAACATACAGATTAAAAATTATTATATTGGATTACCCAATGCTATCCATGATGGTACGCGAATCTCATAGGTACCTTTGTGAACGAATTCCAATGTCAACGCTATATCTCTCATATCCTTTTCTATCACTTGAGCCCAATTCTCCACATCGCCCAGTTCCTATATGAAGGAATGATTGCAACACATCGTAAATAAAATTAAGATTAGAAGCTAATAACACGACTCTCCCAGTAGATTTTGTTAATTTTTGACCTTTAGAGCATTGCTAAAGTTGTCAACCATAGTGAGCCATTGCTTAGTTTGTTTCGTGTACTTTGCTGTTGCTGTTGAAAGTTGGCGAGCTTCCGATTCGATTTCACGTTGAGTTTTAAAAATTAAGCTGACTCTGTTCAATAAAAAAGGTTACTCATGTGCTCCATATAAACTATAAGTTAACGTTCGGCTGACCTCTCATTCAAGGCATCTGTCAGAGCGTCTGCCGTTTCGTTAACTGCTTGGACAGCCTCTTTACGGAGCAGTTCTATATAACAGCAATTTTTGTTGTATTAATTATATATGCTTATGAATCGAATCTAATGTTGATATCTAACCATTTTTCTTCCGTATAGCCTGCTGTTTCTGTGTATGTTCTCTTACGAGACGCGAAAGCATTGTGAACAAAATAGTATCGTTGCAAATAACGCCACATGTTTAAGATTTGAACGGGCCAAAAAAGCGACGAGAACCATAATTGACATTGATGTGACACGAGTTCTTGGGAAATATTAATTAGTTTCCGGAAAGTTGATGGAACAAATCAAGCCATAAATATTGAATGCTAAAAACCGCATATAAGCATTTTCATCGTTCACCTCTATCACTTTGCGGTCAACGCTTAACTTTGCCTTGTAAATTTCTTTGCCGTTTCACGTCCATCTCACCGCCAGCATATCGTAAAATGTCCACAATTCATATAGCTGGAGAGCGCATACCCGTGACAGCTGCTTACCCAGATATTAACGTTTCAGCTGTCTTGGAATTTGCACCATTCAAGGAATGGGCTGATGCAATGTCCAACGAAAAAAGTCAATCGGCAGAAAGGAATAATTTGGAGATTAAAAAGATCGAAATACAGAACGTTGACTATTTTGGCCCGAAAATTGGATTTATCAAGTTCAAAGTAGATGCGAGATTGGTTGAGAACGGAAAGAATGTTCCCGGAATTGTATTCATGGTTGTACTGCTTCTTCTACAAGAAGTTTTTTTTATTGTGTTGGTGACTGATTTTTACAAGATGATTAATAACTTCCTAAATTCGTTCAATACAACTTTTTAGCGTGGAGGATCGGTTGCTGTTCTTCTAATCCTTAAATCTAAAGATGGCGATAATGTGACGGAAGAGCATGCTGTTCTTACTTGCCAAGCGCGTCTCGCTGTTCCTTCATTATCATTTCAAGAAATTCCTGCAGGTTTACTGATGTTCCTTTGCGTCCCTCATATAACCAACAAAAGCATCATCACATCCAACCTTTAACATCAAAAACTACCGCGTGCTTTTTTTTATTCATCCGAAATTTAGGAATGCTTGATGGATCAGGAAATTTCAGCGGAAAGGCCGCAGAGGAAATAAAAGAAGAAACGGGTATCGAAATAACCGAAAACGATCTCATAGATATGACGGATCTAACCTATGGTACCGCATTCCGCGGCGCCTATCCATCAGCAGGCGGATGTGACGAATTTATGCGGTTATGTTTATGTGTTAAAGAAATGAAACGACAAGATGTTCTTACATTAGAAGGAAAATTGAGTGGGATGCGAGACCATGGAGAAAGCATCACCGTTAGATTAGTAAAATTGGATGATCTATGGAAAATACCGGATATGAAAGCATTGTCAGCTTTAACTTTGTATCACAGGTTGAGAAAGGAAGGAAAGATATAAAAGGGAGGGGAAAGGGTCGAGAGACCACCAAATAGATGAAGAATGGAAACAAACTGCGGTTTTATTATGTAGATTAACTTGTCTCTCAATCTATGACTGATTTAATATAGATCCGTGTTTAACTCGTCTAAACTTTTCAATTATCTGTACAAGGTTAATACCAGAACTTAAGAATCCAAATCCATTTGTTGCTGCGTTGGTTCGGTAATTCTAACAACCCGTGCTTTAACTCTAGCAGAAGGGGCTTTGATAAGCTCAATATGCCGTTGTACTTCGCGTAAATTGTCTGCCTTTTCACGCTCCTTCTTTCCAGCCATTCTGTACAATAGGAACAAGGTTAAATAGTGTTCCTCTGATCGCATCTTGTGCAATACCATCCGCATGATTATGCTCTATGCAAGATCCCAATAAACTGCCTTTCGAACTCACCTGTTCTTGTAAAATGCCCGTTCACGTCGTGCTCTGATCTCGGCAACTTTCTTCATTGCCTTTAGTGTTGTTGCCATAAGATCACGGTCATAACGAACTGGCACATTACGTCGTTTTTCAAACTCAAATGTGGAATCCTAAGACAAGAGGGAGAGAGTGGGAAAAAGGTAAGCAATAGTGATTACAAATGAAAGTGCGAATAGAAATAAACTAATGTTTACGTACAATTGTCATTTCCTTTCCGAATGCTTTCCTAAACGCTTTAGTCCATCGAACTTTGCGTGGATTGCGTTTATGTTTGAATGCAGCGTGACATTTGCTCCTGCAAAATCGGAAGACCTATATCGTATGAAATGCAAATAAGTCAACCATATTTGTCGTTATAGCCACACACAAACAAAATAACTTGGTTCTCATAGATAGTAAGCGTTCGCCGGAGATGTTTACATAAAAGTTTGAATGTGAAAGGCTAACGTTGATCTATTGCCTCAACCGTTTCATATTATTCAACAAGAAAACACGCAGTCTTGGGGTAGGGGGCAACAACAATTTATCATAGTTTACCTTTATAAACTACAGACATAAATTGATATTTGACTAGCTTCTGACATAAAATCGAAGATTTTTCGATATCCCTCGACTATAAAAGTAAGAATTCTCAAAATAATAGTCAACAAAGTGTTGGGCATGAGAACCGAGTTATTTTATTTGTATGGCCTTAGTAAGAAAATCACGGATTTACATGATAGAGACATACTTTGCTGTCATTCCTTACAAACATCATCCCATGACCAGGATATATTGTCGAAGAACAGAAGTAACACTTCTCTAAACGCATAATTCGTATAAGAAAGAAAGGTGATCAAACATCTATTGATCATCATTCAAAAATTTTTAGCGGTTGTAAATCATCACGTGAGTTTTGACAAGCATTTAAATAAATTAATTACAGGAATCCCATAGCTCGCGGGGACGTAGCTCAACTGGTAGAGCGCTCGCTTCGCATGCGAGAGGTACCGGGATCGACGCCCGGCGTCTCCATTTTTCGGTTACGTCACGTGTTCAGAGTATTTAGTTAACATACTAATATTTATTTTTCATACGAAGTTAATTTGATTTGAAATAAATTTTCGACGTTAAGAAAAAATGCGTGTTATCTGTTTGTTGCCGAAACATTTTGCATATTCGTTCACACAATACTAACACATGCGTCTTAACGGGTAAATTTAAGCAATTACATTAATCTAATTTAATTATTTATTTATAGAGTCAGGGAGTTCTACAGTAACATTATCGTCTAGTGCAACCTCTTCACAGTCCTCCTCCGGAACACCAGATTCGTAGACAAAACAAACGAAGTCCGTAACCTAAACATTATGTTATAAACTCTAGCGTTAGTGTTCAAGAACAGCTATAGGTGAGTCGCTTAGATTTAAACTCCCTCTTACTTGTTTCAAGGCAATCATGGGGTGATGCCAGACACCAGGATTATAATTAATGCCTTGTTCAGAGGACCCGATAAAGGCTCGTAGAGTTGACAAATCTGGCTTGTTATCTGCAAAGCAATAGGATAGTTAAAATAATGATAACGGCTTAAGCAATCAAAACATGGCTTCAATAAATTTCTACACAAACACCCATCCAGAATTGGAAATTGTACCTTGCCCGTTTAAACAAACAATCACTAAATACCCCTCGTTCATTCCACTTGATAGTGGAACGAATGCCTGAGAAGAGTATAAATGACGTTCCAGTAATTTCACTTCAAACGGAAACTCGGTCGTCGGTTGGCAATGATACAGACAAATATTCTGCTCAGCCTTTGCTATGAGCTTCCCGTCCTGTGTTATAGTGGATTGTCGAAAGTTCACCGCTTTCGCTATATGATTGTATTTGCGAGCTGTCCCCTGATTTGCAGGGGTCACTCGAATACCATGCGTAATTGACATTGCGAATGGGGAATTAAGGTTTGGTTCGGCAAATGCCTCTATCACTTGTCCGTATGCTGCAAATTGCTCATTTGTCAGTGGTGCGGCGACAATCGCGTAAGACGGAGAGGTGTTGTGTGTGCCAATCGAATGTCCGTTTGTTTCGCCGTTATTGTTCGCCAACGACAACGCAAGTTGACCAAAGAGACGCAGCCGTTTGATACCGCCATCTTTAGATAATTAGATAGTGTTAGCGAGCTACTATGCAAGTCCATCGGAAATGCAATTATATACGTTACCGGGATACATAGTCATTTTAACATGACTGAATTGCCAATGAGTTTTCTTCAGCCGAAAGTGATATTGCTTATCTGGTCCTAATTTGGATCGCGGTAGAATGTTTTCCCATTCGGTCGTGTCATCAGGAATTTCCTGCACCAATCAATGCACGTCAATACATGATTTGCAAAAGGAATTATCAGCAAGAAAACAATTCAAATCGACAGACCAAATCCGAGAAACACCCATCAAGCATAACACTATCTGGAAAATTTCCTTTGAAATACGCCGTATCAATCTCAGCATCTTTCAAATACCCCGGAGCCCCGAGCCGAACAATAATCCAGTCGCAATGTCCAGGCTCCCTGGACCTTTTTGTCTCCCATCCATCACTCATGTCCTTCCCACGACCTGGGAGTAATATATTGTCCTTTGCACCGAAATGTTGGTCGCTACATGAGACGACTTTGCCTCCGTTACCAATAAACGCCAGATCAATGGAGGCAGTTTTGTCGGACGGCCAAATGGGTCGTACGTTCCCATAAACTCGAAAACGAGCCTATTTAGATTGACTGAGCCTATTTAGAACTTCGATTGAAATTTTCGGAGTTAATATCGGATGAAAATGTACTTACGACACCACCGTCTGGGTATATGTTCAGTTTGACATGAGTATAGAATTGTCGGTTGTTTTGAACTCTGAAATAATGTGATGCGCTAGGGCCTAGGTCGACTTGCGGCAGTATCTCATCCCACTATAGAATGTATTCGAGTTAAAAAAAAAAGCCTATCTGGATTACTGACAACAGGTCGCGGCAAACTCACGAAAGTATCATCGCCGGGCTCTGGATCTTTGTCTGGAGAATGACACCCTTCGACATTAGCGGCCGGAGGGTGATTGCCATTAAAATACGATGTGTCAATATCAAACGCCTCAATTGTTCCAGCAAAAGCGAGTTTGATGATGACCCTTTACAAAATCAAAGAGTGAGAATTAGCCGATGCGAGCCAATGTTGAACGAAAGCGTCTAGTCGACGGATAATAATTGTAATCGGTCTCACTAACCAATCGTAACTTTTATTATGTCGACGGGTTTCCCACCCGTCGTACCAAGCACCTCGATCCGTAAATCTGGATGGATCTCGCACGGGTTTTTCTCTCTTTATCAAGTTTTCTGCTTCGGCAAAGAACTCATCGCTGCAGCTCAAGATTTTCCCACCTAGGAGTGAACAAGCAAGATCTATCCCAACAAAAACGTTAAAACAAGATTTCCAACAGCGCCTCTTAAGTGATAGTCACTAGAAAGCTACATATACCAATGTAATTTGTCTTGATATCCTTTTCTCTATCAGTACGCGTATATTGGATGTATTTCTCTGGCATTTTGTAGTGCACAGGTTAATTTACGAGAACGAAACAGGACCTGTTTAAGGGATGGCTTTATATGCGATCGATGAAGTAGACTTCTACTCCTTATTCCAAAAAAGCTAGATTGTTGCATGTACGAAAACCTACGTTAGTGTCACTTGGATCATTACAAAACCAATGCTAGGATAGTTTCTCTTGTGTAGTATGAGCTTCGATGTAACCATGGGGTGCATTTGAGCTTCCATATATATAACAGGGTTCTGATAACCGATAAGCTGATAACCGATATACAGGCGATAGCGAAGATCGACATCGAAACTCAATACTAATATAGAAAGATGACTCGATAACGAAAGCGAAGGATAAATTCAACGTAGATCACACATAACAATAGGAAGATTCTAACATTATACAGCAGTGTGAATGTGATATTTTATTGCTTCAATTTTCACATACGTTTGTTTGTTGATGGTAACTATGATGTAATATAAAGTATTATAACTTTACGTCAATGCGTATATACAATATATCACTTCGAACTTTGTATATCGATAAATTCCCATGTATTGTTGATCAATATTACGGACTTAAACGTATTAGTATCTCTACTGTCAACGTGATGAGGTAACTGAATCGTGGTATCAATATAGCAGCTATTGATGATTTTAATACTTCACTAAGACTAACAGCTAATGCCTTTCTCTTTATTATTATTATTGAAACGTTTACTGAAATAGGACGCTCGACATGATTTCCCCTTTCTTCTTTTTGGGAAAGATAAATTGCATGTTATTACTCAGACCAATAATTCTTGGGTTAGATACAAGGAAGTAAATCCTCTAAATATCAAGTATCGTTTCAAACTTGGGTTTCATATGTCATAAGCTATAACGTTTTTCATGGACAAAGTACAAAGAAAATTGGATCTATTTGCGAAAACGTCAAGGCTTGAACTTTTATTTGACGGCTCGATACAGTAGCAACGTAAATAGTAAAATAGTGTATGATGTAGCAGAATATTTTTATGACTTTATCAACGGGGACAACTATCATTGTATGAAATGAGTATCAAGAATGAGGCTTAATTATCTAACTTATTGTGCAGACTATAATCATTTCATATCACCTTTTTGTATCCCTGTTATCATTTGAACCTCTTTTCAATATTTGCCACAAGATGGTGTTGTATCATAATTATACCGCGGGTGATCGTTCAGTAATTGGTCTTGCTTTTAATCGAGGTTTTATTTTTGCTCGAAAATTGCTAATACAGTTGGTTGTGTTGTACCTCAGTTGGGGACCTTGACAACTGAGTGTGACTGGGTTCTGAACTGAGACAGATCCTGAACTCAGACACAACCGTGGCTTTTTTACTCACTGTTCTCCCTTAAATCGTTGGGATTAATTGAGTTTACATTACAGTAAATGCTCGATAATTGTGCCGCAAAATCGTTGGATACTAATTTCCAATGTGGGGCATGCTGCAACAAAACTGAACATTTGATTATGTGACATAAATGAGAGGCTGGTTATGATGTGGCTGTAAATTGACCAGTGTGACTGATTATGATGACGTTTTGAAAAGTAATAATTTATGACATGTTAATTTTAATGCTCACTTTATCATACCAGAAGGTGAGGAATATAAACCATAACAGGATTAATATAGGGTTACCTCTATAAACATTGATTATTGGTGGGTTTTTTCGTTCTTAGAATCCAAAATACTAGGGCTGTAATCCCTGATGCCATAAGCATTGCTGGAATTAATCATAATGGAGATATTTTGTTTGAGCTTCTTATTCTTTGTTTTTCTTCTTCTAATTGTTTAACTTCAATCAATTCTCTTGATGATTTGATTACTTCTTGACCTTTATCCCTCTTACTATTACCCCAAACTTTGGCATATTCTTTAGGGTCATTCAGTTTTTCTGCAATTCTTTCATTTTCCATAGTACCTACTGGCTGATTGTTTCGAACAGGCCTGCCTTCATTTGGCATTCATCATCTTTCCATTTTGTATTTAGGAAAGAAAGTAAAACATAAGTCACGT